CAGTTTATGGCATTCCATTAAATTGAGCTCTATGATAAAATACAACAAAACATCATGTTGGTTATCTTCTACTGTTGCATTACAGAGAGCATTTTAATAAATGGCACTTTGACATGATACATCAGCAATTCCATTTCTCACAAGAAAGCTCTGGAGTGAGGTGCTCTCAGTGGCGGAAAATTATTACGGCTAGCCTTGGAGGACATTTATAATACATGTTGCTTGCATAAAGCTACCAACATCACTTACGACCCTACTCATCCCTGCCATCACCCATTTGCCCTTCTGCTGTCCAGCAGAAGGCAGAAGGTGCCACACGGCTGTTTATGCACCGCACCTCCAGATTGAGAAACAGATTTTCCCCCAGGGCCATCTCTCAGCTGAATCAGGTCTCCAACAATCCCACATAACTGCCAGCTATGTCACACACACACACACACTCCTTACACTCATTGTCACTATGCACCAAGGAACACCAGCAATAATAAGGTGTGTCGCAGTGGACATAATGTATCATGATGATGCTGGTCCTATTATCACTATTATTTCACACAAATTCTGATGTATATCTACATGGAGATGCAAAAATAGCAGAGAAACCAACATACATGCCTATCACTCGTTGGCCATTATCACCGTATAAGTGTCAGCAACACTCAACCTCATCCATCGGTGGAAAATGACCACCATTACTAGATGATATTGGGATTGTGGATCATTCTGAGCACATCAATGACACTATAATAACAAAATAACCCATGATTCCTTGTGCCAGCCAGAGGATGGCATAAGGATGTTTAACGTTACTGGTTTCTTCTATTGTAGGGGTGTAATACAATTTTATTATTATTAAATGTAATCTCTACCAGTATGCCTCCAGAGACACTGGAAAACACTGAAAAAAAAACAGGACTGCTTGAAAAAAATCCTAGTTCCTTCACAAGATAAAACAGAAAAATAGTCATTTGCAGAACTTTATACAACTCCTGAACTTTTACAGTTACTCAGCCTCAGCTTCAGCACTCGAGTTCCTATTCAGTCTCATCCCGACACCCTGTGAGCTGACTAAGCTAGCTAACTATCTTTCAGAATAACGATGTCTTTCCCAAATCAGAGAACTGTTGTTCATAGTTGACAACAATAGCCATCTAATGATATTTTGTCAGTTTTACTTGAGTTTTTGGGTTTGTTACATTTCCAGAAAGATCAGAAAAGTTCACTGGATATGCTACTACAAAGCCGGGATATAGTGCTTCTGCTAGTCAAAATGGGGTCCTTTAAGCATCATTTCATTATAATTCCCATATGATTTTTCTGAAAAAAAAAATCATAATGATACTGATGGAACATGTTCATTTAAGAATGACAAAAACATGTGCAATGAACATACAACCTAATATATGGTTAAAATGAATTAAATTATTAATTATTGGATATCCCAACAGAGAGATCATCCTCTGTACACTATGTGTGGTCTACGTGGGCTTTTGTGGAGCGGTGGCTCTATAAATTAAAGTTTTTCTTTTGTGAATTTTGGGCCAGTTTGCAAAGAAATTTGATTTTATTTTGTAGCTCAGTAAGGCAGTGTTTAGGCCGGGCAACTGCAGCCAATCAGGATAGACACAAAAAGCAAAAACCAAACAAACAAACAAACAAAAAAACAAATAGTATGCCTCCTGTTCATGTCTGCATTTATACCAGTTTAGGTTCATTCTAGGCCTTCCTAAGAAACTCATCCTAGGTTTCTCCTTCCATTCCTGGTCGCTCTTGGCTTGAGACAAGGCATATCTGAAAATCTGCTTTGAGACAAATCTAATGATAAAATTGTATTGCGTTTTACAATTCAGACAGGATACAATCATATCATACCCGCATATTGGTAGCTGAACTCTTTACCATTTGCCCAAGGGGCCACCAGTGGTTTTCTGGCAGACCTAACTGTTACTGCTGCCTCTTTATTGTTGTTGTATTTGGGTATTAAATCTATACAAGAGCCTGTGCGGTGTCAGGTCAGAGGTCACGCATTCTGACAAGAAAAAAAGAAATGGGAATGGCGAATACAGATTCTGCACAAATTCAATCAGCTTTATCAGGGGAAAAAAAACATTTTTCAGCATCTAACATCATTTGCCAATTAATTTCTGGAGGGCAATGTGGCCAGCACAGCAGGATCTCCACCAAGAGCAAAGGACCACTGGGTGACTCCAAATGGACTTACCCAATGAGCCCACACTAACCTCAGGCGAAAGTCATTTACTCCCGCCATTATTCTCCCATCTTATTTATTTGGAGCGATGCTTCCATTTCCCCCACTTTTGCATTCGTCTCTGAGAGAATTGCCGAGGCAATCGGTTTCCCCAACCGCTGGGCCCCATATTGTTCGAAATTACGCTTTCAATTTGCCGCGGTGCCTCGGCACGGCAGGAGCCTCCTCACTCTTTCCTTTATGGCGGACGGACGAGACAATTGAAAACACAATGGATTCAGGCAAATGGCGCTCACCCACAGGCCGGCATCATCATTTCTAATGCGGAGAGAGTTGACGGTTTATTTGTGCGATGCAGCCTTTTCAAAGAATCTAGTCAGAATGCAATTACGCAAACCAGCTGAAAGAAAAACACCCCACCCCCACCCCACTTCCAACCTTACATTTCTACTTAGAAGATGAATTAGAATTGTCTAACATCAGATCTAATCAGATGTCAGACAACACTAGAACATCTTGTGGCCACCAGCCTGTGGTATGTCATCAAATCTACACAGTAAGATATGTGAAGGTCACATCATGACCCGACACAATACAGCATCTCAAGCCTACCTGTCAATCCTTCTATCTGCCCAGGTATGTATCTCTCTGATCATCTGTCCATCCATCTATCCATGAATCTGCCTATCTATCCATCTGTTTGGCCATCTAACCAACTATCAGTCCTTCTGACTGTCCTTGCAGCTGGTCTTCTATCCATCTGATTGTCTGACCGTCTAACCATGTATCCATCCATCTATCTGCCTATTCTTCAATCTGCCTGTCTATCAATCTGTCTGATAATGTAACCATCTATTGGTCCATATGACTGTCTCTCCATCCTTCTTTGTGGCTGTCCATCTATCCATCTGATTGTCTAAACATGTAACAATTTATATCTCAATCAGTCTGTTTATCTGTCTGTCTGACAATCTAGCTAACTATCTGTTCATGTATCTGCTATCCTTCCATCTGCCCATCTATGTGCCTGTCTTTCTGTCTAACCATCTATAGATCCATCTTTCCATCTGACTGTCTCTCTGAACATCTAACCATCTATCTGTCTATATACCCATCTATGTGTCTGTCTGACTGTCTAACCATCTATCCTTCTGTCTATCTATCCGTCTGATGGTCTAATATGCTTATCCATCTATGCTTCAATCTATCTGTCTATCCTTACATATGTCTGTCTGTCAGTCTGTCTGATCATCAAAACATATATCGGTCTATATGACTGTCTGTCTATCCTTGAGACTGTCTATCTATTCTGTTCTGATTGTCTAACCATCCCATCATCCATCTATCCATCTTTCTGTCTATCTGTCAACCTATCCTTCCTTCTGCCTGAACATATAACATCTCTCCATCCATCTGTCCATCTGTCCATCTGTTTGACCATCTTTCCATCCACAGTGCATACTGTTATTTTGTTATAAGCATAAAATTACAATATAAGCATATTTTACAGTTTGTAGAGAATCTATCCTGTACAGCATGGCCAGACCTTAGCTTATCGACAGTACATTTGTGTCGTCCACTTCTCTGGTCATGTTTACTGCTTCCTATCTCTGTCCGTCTCTCTCTTTCTCTCTCTGTCCTGTTGTTGAATCCACTCAGTGGTTTATGTATTACTCTATCTGATGCTGTTCGGCTTGCTTCACTGATTCCCATCATCACCCGGGTTCCTTTCCCTCGGCCCCCGCCCTAATGAGAAACTGATAAAATTAAATCGCAAGCTTCGCTGCTCTCCACAACAGGTGTTGCATCTTTCCATCCTCCCTCCCTCTCTGCGTCACTCGCCCACTGGAGGTGAAGAGAGTGAGAAACGGCTCCTCTGACGTTAATGCTTTCTGTCTGCCAGCTACAGAGCAGGAGAAATGTGACACGCTCAGAGTACAGGGCTCGTCCGAAAGCTAAATAAAAATTAATAACGGGTGACTGCCCTGTGAGTGGCTAACTGCTCAGCACCAATATCCGACTTAATTAACTGTTTGTTCAGCGTCGCATGTACCCGCAAGGCATGTTATCATATTCAGATTACAAAGACAATTTAAGTATGAGCAGAAAGCTGAGACTTTCCTCTTTACAGCAATGTAGAAGGTCAATATAAAGAGGACTCAATATAAAGAAGCTACAAATGCACTACAAATCTTACGGTGCATAAATGGTTGTATTATTAAATATAAGTGCATAATATTAGGTACTAATGCATCAGACTGAGCTAAGGTCTGAGCAAAACAGGACATATATACAGAAAATGATCAATAATGAAATAATGTCAGAGCACACACTGATATAACCATGATTCACAACAATACAATATTATAGGATTTTTTTAAATCAAAGTTTGTCAATAATAAATGGAATCTAAAATAAAAAAATAAAACACTCGTGGCAGTGGTGTTATAGGAAAATAATCAACAACAGGGTGGTGTGATGTGGCCCAAAGTGAAGCAGAGTTGCATTTACTACTTTAAAGTTGATTATTTTGGGACAGCATGTCCCAAAGTTTTGTTTTCCTCTTACACTAAGAGAATTTTTTTGAAAAATGTATGAAACATACATTTCATCTGTTTATAACTACATTTGTTGTTTTTTTCGGCTGCTCCCATTAGGGGTCACCACAGCAGATCATTGGTCTGCATGTTTGATTTGGCACAGGTTTTACAGCAGATGCCCTTCCTGATGCAACCCTCCCATTTTATCCGGGCTTGGGACGGCACTGAGAGTACACTCCCAGTGGCTGGGTTGGTTCCCTGCCTGGGAATCGAACTCAGGCCATGGCGGTGAAAGCGCAGGATCCTTAGCCAACAGACCACCAAGAAGCTCTTGACAACTACATTTAAAGTTGTGAAAAGTCTGCAAAACAAGTTATTTCCAGATATTTACGTTATAGCAGCTATAAACAGTCATTCTCCTTCCTGAAGACTTTTCCGTGTTGGAAAACTTTACAATTTATTTTTAAGAATTAAGAATTTCAGCTTTACATCTGACTGTCACAAAGCGCTGACACTGGAGACTTTTTTCATAAATGTCTCCTCAGAGAAAACAACAGCTACATACTTTTTGAAAAAAAAAAAACATTTATGTGGAGTGTCT